CCCCAAAACCCCAAAACCCCAAAACCCCAAGAATTACGTCAACATTGAAATATTAAGATATATAAATGTCAACTATCCAAGAAGCAATAGACTGAACAAAAGCAAGGAAGCTACAAGTCAACCTTGTCGAGTCAGGCAAGATCAATGTTTTGGTCCTTAACAATCTTGACAACAGATTCAACGTTGAATTTTGAGAGAATATCTTATCCCAACTAGATAAACTTGAAGAAGAGAAAGATTTGCAAGGGCAAGTTTTAGTAACAGTCTCTACCCATCCTAAGATATTTTCCAATGGAGTAGACTTTGAAAACCTCAACACAAAGGAAGAAGTTGACAGAGTACTTAGGCTCATGTTCGATATTTTAAGAAGAATAATCATTCTTCCAATCCCAAGCATCGCCTGCATTCATGGACATGCTTTTGCTGGAGGCCTTTTCTTTGCTCTAGCTCATAGCTTCAGAGTTATGAATTTTGATAGAGGATGGGCTTGTCTTAATGAGCTCTCTAACGGTATCATCATCCCAGAACCCCTTCTCAAAATCGGTGAAGAAAAGCTAGGCCTGGAAAACTTCTGGGAAGTCTGAGCTACCGGCTCCAGATACACCGCTACCCAAGCTCTAAAGCTAAAAATCGCTTCGTCAGCTTACGAAAAGGAAGAAATACTGCACAAAACCTATGAACTGGCAAAGAGAATATCAAAGAAGAACATCGAGCCAGTGGCATTCCAGACATTCAACAAGGACATGTTCAAGGGGACTATCAAAGCATGCACAGAGGTGTCCATCTACGACTTAACACTCGAGAGAATTGCTAAGCTATAAATACATTTACAGTCAATCTTTCCGATAGCTTAGCTGTAGTAGCCATCTCTTAGATTAGTGCCAAGATCAGTGGCTTAAGTGGTAAGGAGGGCGACTGGGATTTAGGACTTGGGGATTGGGAGTGTAGGGTTTGAGGGGTTGAGATAGGAGAAATTTGGGGTTTTGGGGTGGTTAGTGGGTATGTGACTTTGAGTCTAGCTTGGAGTTATGGAGAGGTTGGTGATTGGCTTTTTATGAGAAGATAGGTCAATATAGCAGTGAGAAAGTGGGTTTGGTTGAATATTGAGCTTTGATAGCTGGTTCATTTTGATCAACTATAAAATTGACAATAAGACCTTTTCTGATTTGAAATATGCTTACAACTCGAATCTTCATAAAATCTAGAATTCCTAAGTTATTAAAATCTCTACTCTAGTTAATCTCTGATTAATAAATTTCATGAGCTTTACTTTTACAGTCTCTTCTTGATCTCTTTGCTGTTTCTCTTAGCCATAAATTTCTTAAAAGTGCAAGGAAACATTCTAACTATGATTCCACAAGCTCTAAATTAAAACTATGTCAATAAAAAATTAAACTCAATTTCAAGCCTGTTAAGATTAATAGGGGTTTTGGGGTTTTGGGGTTTTGGGGTTTTGGGG